AAGACGACCACCGTTTGTTTTCTCTGGTCAGCAAATTTATAGGCAATACAAGAATGGAGTATTCTACATAATGATTATGTCATGAGCAAATCCTTTACAATGGAATTTTGTTCTTTATGGGACATGATCATGCTGGTAATGCTTTATTAGGCTCAGAAGGGGGAGTCAAATCTGCATACCAGGCTCGAATCCTGGACTTTAATATGTATGCGAGTGTGCCAATTTTAGGGATCACTTTGGGGAAATATTAAAAAACTTATGTCATGTATTAGTTAAACCACATAAGAAAATTAACTGCAAAAGAATGGATTTTGTGTGTTCTCAGTATCAGATGTCACATACACAGAGGCAGCTGACAGGACGTGACAGACACTGCCACTCTTAGTACCACAGAGGCAGCTGACAGGACATGACAGACACTGCCACTCTTAGTACCACAGAGACAGCTGACAGGACGTGACAGACACTGCCACTCTTAGTACCACAGAGGCAGCTGACAGGACGTGACAGACACTGCCACTCTTATTATCACATAGACAGCTGACAGGACGTGACAGACACTGCCCCTCTTAGTACCACAGAGGCAGCTGACAGGACATGACAGACACAGCCACTCTTAGTACTACAGAGGCAGCTAACAGGACGTGACAGACACTGCCACTCTTAGTACCACAGAGACAGCTGACAGGACATGACAGACACTGCCACTCTTAGTACCACAGAGGCAGCTGACAGGACGTGACAGACACTGCCACTCTTAGTACCACAGAGGCAGCTGACAGGACATGACAGACACTACCACTCTTAGTACCACAGAGGCAGCTGACAGGACATGACAGACACAGCCACTCTTAGTACCACAGAGACAGCTGACAGGACGTGACAGACACTGCCACTCTTAGTACCACAGAGACAGCTGACAGGACGTGACAGACACTGCCACTCTTAGTACCAGAGACACCAGTTCTTGTCCTGTAATATTTTGAAAAGATTTCACACACACATACAAAACAAACACAATTAACTCACAATGCCCTGCTCAGCAAATATTGCAACTGCTGCTGAAAGCCATGACAACTACATTGACATCTCTCATACAAATATAAGGAGACCAACACCTTCAACTTAAAAATCAAGCATTTAACAAACATATAGCTTCATGGAGCTGCATTCTCATTCAGATACACACATAGAGCCCTGCATGTATCCTTAATATAGGTAGTTTTCCAACAGTATGGCTAATACAATTCTTTAAAAAAAAATCAAAGTCTTTTAAAAAAAATAATTTAATGTTGCTCAGTGCTGCAAAAATGAAATATGAGAGGAAGAAAAAAATATGCACACATTTATATGTTGAGGCACTCCTGTTCACTACAAAAATTGTCTGTGTGTATTTCATTATTCTCTGGTCTATTCTGCTGTAATGAAAAAACCATTTGCTGCAAAAAGAGTGTTTTCAGACAATCTGGACTGAACACTGTATATCCATTGCCTTTTTTGGTGCTAATCCACTACACTCCCTCCTATATATTTATTAAGTGACTTGAAAGCCAATATAATGTTCTGGCATTCTTCTATCAAGTAAGAATTACTGCCACATGTATTCACTGTATTCTAATTAGATTGAACCTCTTCTGACTCTAAATATCTCTTCTCCAACTTATTCAGACCTAAACATTTAACACTTTCAGAAATATTTTCTTAGGATACAATCAGTTTATGTTGAGAGCTCTCACCGACCAAACAAGTTTAATGCAATTTTCAGGATAAAAAATTCTCTTCAATGGAATCTTTAGCTCAAGAAGCAAAACTTGAGCAGACGGATTCAACTAAACCAGGCTTTTCGGCTATAAATAGTACATCAAGTCTTAATGGTAATGAGCAATGTGCAGTGTGAGGAGACAGAAAAACACAAAACTATCAGATCTGTTCACTGACAAAGTAGAATACCTGCAAAACAACCCTATAAACTCTCAGACAGATAACCAAGTACTTCAGATACTACTCCAGAAGCTCCTCAGTGAGTGTTCTCATACAGATGGCATTTCTCCTCAACGATATTCGGCTATAGTCACTGACCTGACCACCATCAGGAAAGTGCCTGTCAGAAACATCTTGGAGCTTACACCAAATGCTTTGTTGCATGAAAACACGATGAACAACCATCAACTTGCAATACAAACAACAGGAATCAGTATGTACAGTTCAACATATGAAATTGCGTAATTTAAAAATCTGGTATGCACAAACTTTTGGATGACATAAATCACCATACAGTGGAAAATCTTAAATTTAACAATCAATACCAACAAACAAAAAATATACATGAAACTTGTCTAACCTTTCTTTAACATATTTACACAAATACTCAATCCCTTGGTTCTCAACTGGATGTATACCACAATGCAAAAATAAATATCCACTTTGAAATTCGGCTCTCAGGCAGGAAAATCTTGTTTTGAATTACAAAACTGCAAATATGCAGATATTAATTTGAAGCTCCAAGACCAACTTTGCTACGATTACAACCTTCAATAACTTCCATGTTGGTGCACATAAACATGGGGCGCCCTTTATGTTGAGACAAAAGCTATGCATACAAATAATAAGTTAGGTAAATGATTACCATGTTACTTTTTCTACAGTCAAGATACCACAATAATAAAATATTTCTAAACATTTTATCTATTCTTTAATCCATTATCACTTACTGGTGGACCTTTTTTTAGTGTAATAAAGACATCATTCTGAGCATGCATGATGCCCTGTGTATGCAGCATGGAACTAAGATGCCCAGCTGGTGTAGCACAGACAATTTTCCTGGGCTTGTAAGAACAATGATGATGCCCTGAGCATGCAACAAAGATGCCCAGCCGGTGTAGCACAGAAACATTCCCTAGGCTTGTAAAAACAATGATGATGCCCTGAGCATGCAACAAAGATGCCCAGCTGGTGTAGCACAGAAACATTCCCTAGGCTTGTAAAAACAATGATGATGCCCTGAGCATGCAACAAAGATGCCCAGCCGGTGTAGCACAGAAACATTCCCTAGGCTTGTAAAAACAATGATGATGCCCTGAGCATGCAACAAAGATGCCCAGCTTGTGTAGCACAGAAACATTCCCTGGGCTTGTAGGATCAATGATGATGCCCTGAGCATGCAGCATGGAACTAAGATGCCCAGCTGGTGTAGCACAGACAAATTTCCTGGGGTTGTAGGAACAAAGATGCCCAGCTGGTGAAGCATAGAAAAATTTCCTGGGCTTGTAGGAACAGTGATGCCCTGTACACAGTGGAAACAAAGATGACCTGGGTGGGTATCATGGATCAAAGATGTCACAGCATGTGATAACAGTGATCAACCAATTGAAAATAAACAACCCTAAATAGATCTATTAATGAGTGGCCTAGGTTACTGTTAAGAGGAAATTGAATATTATTTATTACAAAGATAATGATACCAAGAAATGCATACATCTCCTTTCCTACTGATCACATTTGGTTGTGAATAGAATCAATGTCCACCTAATTAGCTAGGTGACTTTTCTTGACTGCACTGACCAACACTATACATTTCAAATTATTTGTTCAACACCACCTGATAGGCACTTGCAATAGTTTCAATTGTACAGATTACAACTGTATTAAGAAAAACATTCCACAGCTACCCTGACAGCCAATGAAAAAGGGGACTTGGTGTTTGCCAAGGCACACGATAACAGCTGTTTAAAGATGAAACAAGTGTGCCTACAGGCAGCCCTAATCTTGGTAGTTCTATTATCCTGTTGTGCCATTATGTCACATAAGGCTCGAGGTTATTCCTGTGTGTCCCTTTACCCTTTAAAAAAAATTGTCATTGTTTGCTCCAGAAGTCCTGCTTAACTATGTATGTTGTTGAAATTTGGCCCACAGCTTGTTAATAATCATGTCCTTGTAGGATTTTTTCTTATTAATGCAAACATCTAGCTTTAATTTTGCCTTACTTGCAATAAGAAAAAAAAAAAAAAAAAAACAGACAACCATTCAAAACAAACAATCAGCATGCTTACAGTAACTTGAGAAAACTAAGTACAGGAAACTTCTGAAAACATAAAACTGCCTGCGTTTCAGAGGTGTTTCTCAGGTGGTCATTTACAGCATTAGTCTCCTGTAAGTTGCGGGTTTTCACTAAATGGGGGATAGGCTATCAAAATAATCACCACGTATTGCTGCACATATGAATTGATTTCCAAACAATCTCTATACATCTATGAATTACTGTATATTCTATTTTTTAGGAGCACAGACAAAATAGTCAAAAAAAAGATCAAAGAAATTCACTGCTATGAGAAAAAGGCAGCATCTGTGCAAGTGTAAACCCTAAAATCTTAAGAATATTGGAATCTAAGGCCACATGCACATGTTGTTTTTGAGTTTCAGCAATTGCTAGCCTACACAAATGTGACCATCCTGGCAAGCAGCCTGTGTTCCCTAGCCTGAAAATACAAAACTGTTAGCACACGTCAGCAATGGCATCAAGGTCGCCATCATAAAAATACACGTTTTTTACAACCTCAAAAATTCAGCAGCACTTTTATGTGTTGAGAAAACAAACAAGAAAAACAACAGTAATTAGGCATATCTACAACACTGATTACATTTAAGCCTTGAACAAACACTTCCATGCCCAACTTATTGCTATGATTTATCGCTATGGAACAAAGTACACACGCTCTTCTTTGTGTGTAAGCTCCTTATGTTTCTTTGCTGCCGCCCTACCATTCCCATTTCATTTTTTTAAAACTCCTCCTGTGTCCATTTTGAAGTAGCCTCCCCTCATATTTTGCTGTTGATTAGCTTCTCGTGCATGCCACACCCCACTCTGTTTGTTCAGGTCACTCTTATCACGATGAAACATTCCCCACCTAACCCTGTTAAAATGACTAAATTGTAAAAACTACTATGAAACGACAGCACAACCAAATGCCCTCACTCCCTTTTCCTGCCACTTTAACTACACATTAAATGTCATCTTCATCGTCAGGATCTATCTCTATAAGTTCAAAGTCATTGGTCTTCATAAATGGCATGGGGGTGACCTCGTATTTAATGTCTGGGGGGCTGTGCGGAAGCCCACTACCTCCACCTTCACTGTTATGTCCCCCACCACCACCATCTCCAGCTTGTTGGTCTAATCGAGCTTCTCCACCCTGCTGACTGCTGCCGTTACCAAATGCCCCATGGAAGCCGGCCTGAGACTGGCTGAAGTCCCCCATTGACTGCTGCGTGTCGTGGCTGTCATCAGATGCTAACTGCTGATAATCATAGGTTTCATCTCCTGGTGCTTGCAGAAAACTTTCACCTGATAGAGTTGTAACAGAATAGTTATTTCAAGACAACTGTTGAAACCGACAAACTATCTTATTGAAAAATTTTCATTAACTAGTGTAAACAAATTATGACAACTTTTCAAACATTTTTAATTTACCACGGACAATTCGCTCGTTTCAGCTGGTAGTAAATTCCCTAGAAAGTCCTATAGGATGGGAGGAGGGGGAGGTAGTTAGTTGTTGTCCATAAACTGCTATGTTCTAGGTGTGTCATGTTGGTTGTTTTCAGCATTTATCAGGTTATCTTTCCAGTGTGTGCTACTTCAGTTCGTCGCCATCACTGTGCCCTGGTTGCAAGCGGTGTTCTAATTTATCTTCATCGTGAATTTCCTTGATCTGACAGCATTCCTGTATCTAACCCTAAGCGGTGAAAATACATACATGAAGAATGTGCTCCTTTTAAGGGCCATCCCCAGCTGACACTCCAAGTTGGCCTTCGCAGGGCCCACCCCAAAATATCCCTAATTTGCACCGCCTAATATCTGCCCAAAAGACACACTGGTTCAAGCCAAACTTTACCGGTAACTAAGTGAATCACAGAATACAGCGAAGTTCATACTACAAATGACACTGGAGATAATTTATTCAGGGCAAATGAGAGAAGACCTCATGGGGAACTCCCTACCAAATCTCACAGCTAACAAGACAGGAAGGGGGGGGGGGGGGGGGGGGGGGGACTGAAAAGTGCTGAACATTCATTTACAAGTAGACTTCTGCATTTATTCTTGAAACGGCAGTTCGCACAGCGCATTGTTTATTTAAAACTAGGCTGTGACATCTGCACCTTATGTTGCCAAAACATTCCAGCTCAGCAAACCTAAAATTTGTCGCCTTTTATATAACATACATACTTGTTAGGTGGTTCTACTTTTGCAGCCATTGTGGTACCATGGTTCCCGACTAATGCAGGTATGTTTTCATAAGTTTCCATTAGCTGAGCCTGTGATCTGAACAATTACCTTCTGAACCTGCTGACGATGCTCTCCTCTCCATGCCCTGAAGTCCTGGGTGCCCTGGATAACCTCCGGGGGTGTAAGGAAAGCCCTGCTGCCCACCATGGAAAGCCTGACGGCCAAACTGATGCCCTCGGCCACCACGTGCTGGTGACTTGAACTGACCTGTGTACACAAACAAAAGATACACATTAACAATGATGAAATATATTGAACTGCTCAAGGAAGTCTCGCTACATGAAACTGCTACAATGCTTAATACTGGAGGCACTATCATTATACTGAAAATGTAAGAACGGAAAGAAATGAATGCCTGCACAAATGCAAGCACACAAAATGAATGGTGAGATATGACATGTAATGGCATCCGTCAGTCCCGGGGGACTATGGAGATGTGCCGCTGGCTTTGGGAACAGCATCTGCCGTGACTGTCAAGTCCAATGCAGGAATGGCAGTCTTTGCCACACAGGATACACACAAAAGCAGATACTCCCTCGTTGTGAGGCAGTTTTACTCTACGGTGCCTCCTCTCCACAGCTCGTTGTGTTCGGTTTCTTTCAAAATGTGACAGTCCGTCTTTCACTTTCTGACTCCAGTAGTCGATCTGTAGCTGATTTTTCCCATGTCTCTGTGCCTATGTTGGTATCTATTAGGTCACGTTTGCATACATCTTGATAGCGCAGCTTTGGCCTTCCTGTAGGTCTATTCCCAGTTACCAATTCACCATATAGGAGATCTTTTGGAATACGACCATCCTCCATGCGGGAGACATGTCCCAGCCAGCGCTTCAGTATACAATACATTGATGGTATTTTTGCTCTTGTGAGCACACATTCGTTGGAGACAAGGTCTCGCCATAATATACCAAGGATGCGTCTCAGACAGCGCATATGGAAAGTATTGTCTTTTTTTCTTGCCCAGGATTCGCAGCCGTACAGTAATGTGCTCAGGAGATAAGACTCATAAACCTTCATTTTTGTATTATCAGTTAGCTTTTTGTTTGACCAGACTGTGAGATTTGCAAACATAGCAGAGGCCTTTCCTATACGTTTGTTTAGTTCTGCATCCAGAGATATGACATGTAGCAGAAGGATATTTGTCTTTTTTTTGGGGGTCAAATGTAGAAGCCCACTGCATGGGCCAAACAGTTAACCAATCATTGTTTTACCCGTCCCCCCCCCCCCCACCTTTTTTCCTCCAACATTCTTTGGAGATACAATTTTTATGGCAGCATAATTCTCTTGAAGCATTTGCGAAGATCAATCATGACTGCAAGATTCTGCAAAAGGGTGGTTTGTTGGCAGATACTGAAAGGATGTGAAATTGTTATTAAAAGCTGATGATAGAGATAGAGATAGAGATAGAGATAGAGATAGATAGATAGATAGATAGATAGATAGATAGAGAGAGAGAGAGAGAGAGAGAGAGAGAGAGAGAGAGAGAGAGAGAGAGAGAGAGAGAGAGAGAGAGAGAGAGAGAGAGAGAGAGAGAGAGAGAGAGAGAGAGAGAGAGAGAGAGAGAGAGAGAGAGAGAGAGATTATGGATGAAAAATGAAGTAGGATGGGGTGGGAAGAAAATGACAAAGATCAACACAGCACTGGCAGCGGAGAAGAAGTTGTAAACTAAGTATTTGTGCAGCTGTAGACAATCATTAACATATACTTGTTCCTGTCAACTGCTATGTATTCAACTACTTGCCCATATTATCATAAACACTATTTCATTGTTATGTATAACAAACATCATTGGGGCTGTAAAGGTTCAAGATGTGACTATTTCTACTATAAGTTTTGAACCATTAGGAAAGCAGTGGCAAACTATTGAACATGACATTTTCTAGTAACAAATGTTAGTTGGCAGATAAGATAATGTAAATAACTTTTTTTTTTAAAAATAACAAGCATCAGTTTACAGTAGCTGGCATTCACACAATCACTTAATTTAAAAACTGGCGATGGTGCATTCTTTGAAAATGCAAAGATTCCTTCATCTGTACATACCTCTAATGCCGAAGAAAAATTGTAAGTCCCACAAATAGTCATGGCAAAATTTAAAAGGCATTTCTCTTTTTATTACGAGCATATGGAAAAGGCTGTGTGTAGCATGGTTATTCAACTGATGGCCTGCAGAATCCTAGCAAGTGGTCCGTGAATCACTGCCAGTGGTACTGTATTTATGATCTTTCTATCCTGGGGCTTATGCCCCTGGCCTGTGATGATCCACATATTCAAAATGTTGGCCCTGAGTAAACTGAATTGAATAGCCCTGCTTTAGGAGATGACAAAAACTAGGATGTCCTCCCATGAGTTTCTTGAGGCCGTCTGTTGCAATGAGGAACAAACCCACAAGAATTCTGAACACTTTGAGGGAAAACATAAAACTCAGAGTAAGCCAAAAACAGTGTTTTGTAACAAATTTGGGCATGTAAAAATCCATTTTTCTCACCTCGTGCTTAAATTAAAATCCAACTCACATAACCCACATTTCTCATGTTTTGTTTCTAAATCCGAGAACCCACCTGTAATTTTGCGGCGACAATTATACCTTCTTTCATTAGCCCGTTGACTCATAATAACTGCAGCACGAGGAATATTATACTTCACTAATGGCAGACGGGACAACAACTGTAGTAAACAAGTGCTTTATTATCTGACAAGGCCAACAAACTATCAACAGGCTTATCCAGAGCTCTTTTGGCTGTGGCAGTTGAGCTGCCACCTTGATAAATGTTCTTCACAAATCCTTCTTTCTAAGATGAAGCCATGGATTCAAACTAATAGAACCTTCTATTGAAAACTGGGACCTGTAGACAATCATTAATACATACATGCAGCTTTCCTGTAGACTACAGCATGACCAAATGATGGCAGATAAGAAACGGAAAGAAACCTACATGACCATAGAGGACTAGTCACATCTCTTAATTTCAAAATGCTGAATGGTTCTGATCTATCAGGGTGTCACGTCTTCCAATCTTAATGCAGCTATTCTGTACCCACTGTCAGATTTACAACACCATTGAGATCAAGGGGATTCTACAGATGGCAACCAACATCAAAGTGACAAAAATATGCATTTAAACAGACTCTTAAAAAAAAATAATGGCATTTCTATGGAAATGTTTTCCAAGAGCTGCTATTCATTTCCATTGCTAAGTTAAGAGGCTCAAAACAAGAATGATGTGCTAAACAAATTATTTTAAGGAAACTAACAGCAGCAGCACAAATGTTGACAAAGCCCGGGCAAGTTCCAGCAACAGAAGCAGCTCACCTTTTCTTCGTAAAGTATCCCAATACCTTCTTCCTTTTGCTCTTTGGGTCATTGTAAAGGCTGTGAGTCGCAGATTATACCTCAGTAATGGGATTCGCGACACCAACTGCATGATTTCGACAATAGTACAACTTGCAGAACATAAAAATGCTTTGCAAGAGCCCTTAAATTTGGTGGTAAATGACCTATTGTTAACTACATCTGTTAATGTGACTTGGGTGCTCAAGCAGTATTAAATTCTTCAGCCTGACTTTATCAGCATTTTTAACAACTCAGAATAGCTTAAACTTAAAAAATGGAAATTATCTCTTTATTACTTTGAACTTTCAATCATTGAAGTGAGATCTCATTAATTCTGAATGCCCATTTATATTTTTAAAAAATTAAAAACCTAAATAATGAAAGAGCTTGAAGAAACATAAACAAAGAACACGCTGTTTGATTTTTACAAAACCAGCCTGAAGGGACGATCCTAAGAAATCAGTTTATATATATATATATATATATATGCGCTAGTTAAGGCGGGAAATTAACGTTCGAAACTAAACACAGGCAATGAAAATCTCACAATCCTACCAACCACAAAAGTCAACTCAATAAGTTAAAGTGAACCATTTAGATTACAGTAAACCTTTAACAAAATTTCCAAGGAACAGAAAATCAAATTCATGTTTGGGGGGGGGGGGGGGGGGGGGGGGGGGGTTAAGTGCTAACTGACTCTAACCAAGTCATACATCCCTGCAGGGACAAACATAAGTTTCATATTAACCAAGTGTTCTTCTTGGGTATATGTTTAACCTTTGTGAAAGGCACACAATTACAGCTTTAGTTTCAAATATACAATAGTAAGTAATAAATTACCCTTTGCCTCATAAAGCAAATACCTTTTTTCACCCAATACAAAACAACTGGTATTATAAGTAAATAGATGCTGCCTTATTTGGGCTATAGGGGAGGCAAAGAACAGTAACTCTGTGGAGAACTAATAGTAAGAGTCAGTCTTGAGATCGGTACAGACCCCATTTAAAAGCTCCATCTGCAAAGGTCTAAAAGGGGAGCAACATGACAAATTAGAAACGCATTGGGGGAAGAATTACTAAACATACTGGGAACTGGCTCACCAAATAATGCAAATAAGTACTCTTTTATCGAGAAACAACCTCTAAAATTCACGCGTGTCACACTCAGAATTGGTATGCATGTGCTGGTGCTTGTGTTAAACTTTACCTTTTTCCTGCCAGTTTTAAAGGCTGGCCATATTCCCGATGCTGTGGGAAAATGGCCGTATCTGGCAACACTGCATTCCATTACAAGTATATTGATATGGGTAAAGGCAGTTTTCTATTTTGTGCCTAGTGGGGGGAGGGGGAGGGGGGACTACAGTAAATGAATCCCGATTTGTACTAGTGGCATCATTAAAAACACTTGCGAATGTGGCGCATAAACTACAGCAAGTCTTGACAAAAAGAACACCGAAGTAGAGCAACATTCTATTTCTTTACCCCCAATCTGCAGAAAGGTAAGGAAGAACAGGGGAATGTGAAAATAAAAGACTGAATATTGTTATTTTGACTGAAACATTTGATTTAAAAATGTAACTTGACTGATGATAAATGTTAATGTTATTGTCTTGAAAACCTGCTTAAAAATTTAGGTGCACTTCACAATCCCTAACAATGGATAGTTTTGCTACACCGATTCTGGTAACAGGCTCGCTACACTGATTCTGGTAACAGATTCGCTACACTGATTCTATTAACAGGTTCGCTACACTGATTCTGTTAACAGGCGTGCTACACTGATTCTGTTAACAGGCGTGCTACACTGATTCTGTTAACAGGTGTGCTACACTGATTCTGTTAACAGGTGTGCTACACTGATTCTGTTAACAGGTG